CCACTATGACTTGCATCACACCTTGAAAAAGGCAAAGTAAGTATAAATTTTGCTCTGAAAGGTCTTACATTCACCACCATTCAAGCAAGCCCCTTAGTGGAAGAGGACTTTGGCCCTTTTTTCTCTCATTACTTCCCCGTCACCTTCACTCACCCATTAATTTTTTTTTACAACTACCTTGCTGCTGCTATATCAGTTACACAGATTATTGAACACATGAAATTGACTAAGTACATTTCATTTGTTGGCATCAGCTAAGACCTGAAACTGAGAAATGTTTAGTTGTTTGGCTGCTAACCCCTGTGGCTGGAGAGTGATATTGCAGTCCAACTCTTTTAGACATTTTAAGTATTCCCTCAGAAGTAGCAGGTGAACCACTGGGTAGTGAGAGCTCAAAATATGAAGTCAGTGGATTTCAGGCCTTGACTGAGGAAGAAGGAGGGGCTCCCAGAGATGGATTTTGCCTTGATTTGAATTTACCCAATTTCTCAGGACCTAACCATTTTCTTTTAAAGGGAACTGATCCAGAATAGAATTGTGTGTCTTTTTTGCTGAGGCTATACCATCTTAAATCTGTGGACCACAAATGCAAATAAGAAGTGGTAGTGACCCACAGGTTCACATTTCCATATTATAACCTGGGGCAATCATTAAAAGTATTAGATTGTATCATGAAGGATAGTCCTAATTTGACCTGTTAGTAGAAGGCTCTATAAAGTGAACTGTGAAAATAACTATTACAGCAGCTGGGCACAAAGACATCATTGATATTCTTTCACAAGAATCATGAAAATTCTTCAGTGCTTTCCTCAAAGCTCAGAAATCATTTGTATCTGTATGGAAGACATCATTGCATGTGAACTCCTTGACCTGCAGATTGGAGGATTCACTGAGAACCACACTTTCTCCTGAGATTTTTAAATTCCCTGGTTCCCTTGAATAACACATCATTATCCAAGTCCCCAGCCCACCTTTCTCCAATGTGCATACTTCCTAAGGTGGCCTCAGGTGTGTTATTAAGTCAGATAATCTGTATTTTGACATGGCATGAGGTAACAACTGGTCAACCTGGTTTTAGATTACTACATGGACTTGCTTAATTGTGAACATTGTAAGATACAGAAATAGCAGAAATCTATAACACTAATATTTACTATTTGTTTTCCTTTATTTTATCAATTTATGTTCCTGTTAGAGAAAGCATAAATTTTGTAGGCTTTGAAAATGAAGGCAAAAGATGTGAGAAGAAATGAATGATCAAGTTTCAAAGTGTTGTTAAATTTATTCTCAGAAATAAAAGAGCAAGGACTATGAGAAATGTATAAGACTTTAGAGAATTTCAAACTTTTCTCTTTTAATTATTTGTGACTTCCTCATTTATTTTTCATGCATTGATATCAATAAAATGTTTAAAAAGTTAGACATCCCATGTGCTCATTTTAAGAATGTAAGTAACTTAACAGTTAAACAAAATGCATCCTAGGCAGTTTTGGGAGGATAAAAGGAATCCTCAAATAGAGTAGGAGGTAGTTTTGTTATTTTTTAAGGTACAAAAAGCAAACTGAATTTCCAGGAGCATTGCAAGGAATGCTTCCCAGACTAAGAAGTGCCCAGTGGACTTAGGCCTGTCAGGAATTTATAGATAAGATTCCTGCTCTGCATAGATGAATGAACTAGATAAATTCAAATGTTTCTTTCTAGTCTCTTTCCTGTTTTACCATATATGGCAGAAAGTGGAAGAAATACCTCTTTAAGAGATTTAAAGATAAATTCTGTAGTTTGTGTGAGAAATACAGTATGGTAATTGATAATATTTTATGTTTTAAGTCATGATTGAAATTTGAACAACAAGAATTCTTGAAATTAAAGTGGTGGTTTTCTTTTTAAAATTTAAATAGTTTTAATGGGGCAGTTTTACTTAGAATAGCATTCAACATTATCACATATACATGACACAGAAAAGATCCTATAAGTACACATTGCTTTCCTGATATATTGGTTTATTTAGTGTTGTCCTAAGGGAGGAATGAAATAATACAATAACAGCAGTTAGGAAGCATTGGTATCATAGAATTTTTCTCTTTTTCTAGCCCTTGTTCTCCAGCTAGAAATCTTCAGAGACTGTATTGGGTCCTGGAAAATAATATAAAGCGTGGATTTGTATTCAGTGAATCAGCTTACTGAGTGAGATGTCTCTTTTTCCTTGATATGAGATCATTTTCTATAAGAATCAAGGCCTGAGATGGTATGCTGAATTATCAAGATTTTCACATATCTGGATCATATTTGAGGTGGATACACAGAAGGTACCTGAAATCTCAATCTTATTCAGTGCCAAACAAAAAAATCAGATTTTTTTTTCCTGAACTCCTTCAACTTTTAGACAAAGGTACAAACAGCAATGAAAGGGTTTAATGAGGAAAGTAGAGCATATCCTAAGATCAGGATATACCAGCTCAGACTAATCTCCTCAGATTGTACATCAATAGTTCTATAAATTAAAGTCAGAAATTCAAAATTAGAATAATAGCAGTTATGTATTGAGTATCTGCCGTATGCCAGATTTGATGCACATTGTTCTACATACGTGGCCTAATTTAATACATTTAACAGTCCCATGAGTTAGGTACTACTATTAACCTCCCTTTACAGATCATGGCTCTGGCTCTGAAGCTGTGTAAGATCCTTAGTCACCTGCTGAATAAGCTAAGGAAATGGATTAATATATTATTCTGTAAAATTATCAAATGCAAAACAAAATAAGAAAAAAAATTCTTGATTAACCGTTATTAATCAGAACCTCCTAATCCCCTAGCATTCCTTTTGATCAAGATTTTACCATACTACAGTATAGTACTCAAGTGATGAGGATGCATTTCAAATCTAATTATTTTAAGTAATGTTGATACAATCAACATCAGAACTTTTAAATTGTGGCATTAATTCTTGATTATCAGCTGTCAAGTCTTTAATAACTATATGAGTTAATAGAATGAATCACCTCTCCCTACCCTATTGAGTATTAATTCATTCATTCAACATCACAGGTGGCAGGCATTGTGCTGGGCACCAGGAATACAGTTGTATGGGGTGGGGGGGAGAGAGAGAGAGAGAAAGCGGGGGGAGGAGGAAGGGAGGGAGAGAAGCGTTTTTTAGGAGAACTTACAAACTTAACAGGGGAAAAGTTTGTGTTAATTTACTTGGAATAATAAGATAATCATAACTTTAAATACATATATGTTATACAAAGTATTATATATGTATATAGTATGTTTATCTTTGCAACAACCCTGTGCAATGTTATCAACCCCTTTTTATACATTATAAAAAATAAGACTAAGGGAAATTACAAGAATTGCCCAAAGCTACCCAGCTAGAAAAGCACAGAGCCAGGATTTGAACCCCTGATATATCAGGCTTCAAAGTACACACAGTTTCCTCTATACCATTCAATCTTCCATGGAATTTGTTTTGGTCAGTACGATATTGCAGAAAGAAATAACTAACAAAAGTTTAGAACAACACACTAGTGATATTTGACTCTGGAACTACTTACGTGAAAGAAATATTTTTATTTGTAAATTATACAATATAAACATCTGGTGTTCTTTGAAAATATCCTTCGTCTTGATCTCAATGTTTTCTAATCCACAGGATTTTTTTTTCATTCTAGTCATGGTAGGGATTTAATAGAACATAGATGTGATGCAGCGAATGGTTGACTTAAGATACAGAAGCAGGTTTTCATTATTTTACTTAGTTACTCAGAAGATGTAAGGGAAGAATGTTTGAGAGTTCTTAGAAGACATTTAATGGAGGTGTTCCAAGTGGAGTCTGATTGCTCAAAAAATGGTACTTGTTACATGTGCTGAAACATTAGTATAGGGATACTTTTTATTAAAAACAATAATGTAAAGTTTTTTGTTAGAATCAAAGTAATAATGGAAAGTCGCTTTGTTAGAACCTTAGCATTAATTTTACTGAAACCTGATTGACTTTTACCTGATTGGATCCCAAGCTTTTGATGACATTTCACAACAGTGCCTCAATAATTATATAAATGTGGGTCATAGAAAAATTGAGGGTTAAAGAATGAGCCATGTCAGGCCAACCTGATTCCTCTGTTAGGATTAGAGAACCAGTGGATAAAAGTCTCAGAAGAGATGGCCTAACATTGGGCTTTAACAAAGCTTTTAATTCCACATTTCAGGGAATTTTAATTGAAGCACTTGAAAATCCAGGTGCTCCTGCCAGAGGAGTACAAACTATTTCTGCTCGTCCCTGGCCAAATAGTGTAAGACTTAGAGAGTGGAAAAGGTATTTTGCCATGTTATTGGTGCAGCAGCTACTAGTAAAATAGCAGTGCTTCTGATACCATTTGAAGAGGATGTGATTAACACTCCTCAAATCTGGGTTATAACTCTCAACACTTCAACCACTAAATAATCCCCCCTTGCAAGTTATCTATCTTTGTTTCTATTTTTCATTTGCTATGTAGTTATACTTTTATTTTTTTGGAAACCTCTATATCATCATTTGGAAAGAGACTTTGACACCAAGGTATTCTAATGAGTAGATCTGCATCGATTCAACAATCCTTGCAATGAAAGAATGGGAAAATGTCAAGAGATAATTTAAGGAATACATGGTGGTTAAGCTTTTGCAAAGAAAGAGTGGGTCCAACTATAGTCACATTTGAAGAGGATCCTATCTCTATAAGGGAGGAGGTAGAAGATAATTGAAAGCATGTGGCCAAACATGTTAATTTCCCAGAAACAGGAGGGATATTACAAATGACAGAGCCACAATCTTGTAAGACCTTTATTTTAATTCTACCTGTCACTAAAATCTGTAAAAATTACAAACAACTGGTTTAAGGAATTCTCTGGTTATTCCTAGACTCTTAAGATTTACTTTTCCTCTAGTGGCTCATATAATAAAATCTGGAGAAATCCCAGTCCTTAACGGAGTCTGGATTTTGGCTTCTTTCTCTTCTTTAGGATTGAACCAGCTGCCCTTTGACCCTGCCAACAACAACGAACCCCTGCAGTTTGGTAGTGCCAGTGGCTCTCTGGTCACAGAAGGCCTCATTGAGAATGGAGGGGAGTCGAGCAAGAAAAGAAAGAGAACAAATGCTCCTTCAGGTAAGCTAGGTGATAATTCACTGTCTTAAGCCAAGGCTATTGAGTCAGCATTCTCCAAGAGCCTAGTATGTATGTGGCAAGCCTTCTGCTAGAATTTGTAGGAACTATAGAAATGAGAAAGAGTCCCCTATGTTCAAGGAACTCATGGTGAGATGGGGGAGATGGGGACACATACATAAATAGCTCATTTTAAAAAATCATAGGTGCTATGGTCAATGCATAAAAGGAAGACAAAACCTGTGGGCATTGTGCAACACTTCCCAGCAGAAGTGGCTTTTGCAGCTGGCCCTTGAATATGTAGGCTTCAGATAGGAAGAGATAAGTAAAGAACATTGATTTAGGTAAAAGGAATTGCATGAGTGAATGCTTTTCATTTTACATTTTTCTTTATATGTGCATGTAACAGGCTACCCTCACTTTTACTTTTGATGAAGATATTGCATCTCCCTACCCTACCCTGGTTTCCTCCAGTACACACTATGCCTGCCTGTGTGTTAGGCCCTCATAGCTCTCTTAGAAGAACTGAGGAACCTATTTTCCTAAATCCTCTATAGCAGCCTCTCCCACAGTCCTTCCTCTCCTTCATGCTCCATTTATCTATTCTCAGTTAAATTCTCCAAATTGACTGGGGAAACAATAGGAGAACCAGATCTTAACTAATAATTTGATATTTAAAATTTTTTTTTTGCTTTCTTGTTTGGCCGTTTATTTGAAAATAATATCTTTACTATATACAGACTGATCTGAGAATCTGGGATGGGCCTAACAGACAACTCGTGGTGTTTTTGGTCTGTTTTGTTTTTTTAACTATTAGTTTTACATTCAACTTAAAACATGAAACATGTTTAAAACATATAACATCATATCTGACTCTTAGATCATAGGTCTTTCTGCTTATAAATCAAGATATTTGTTAAGTAGAAGTTTGGAAAATAAAAATATAGTAAAACATGAGCTAACTGGAGCCCTCAAGAAAAGAGTGATTCTTTGAGAGCTGTATTTTCTAGACCATTGGAAAGGCATAGTATATAGCCAGGGAACTGGCCGGAGTTCTAATCCCTAATTCCAGGTCTGTCTCTGTCTGTGGCCTGGGGTTGGTTCCTTGACTTCTCTGAGTTTCACTTTCGCAGCTGTGAAGTTGAAGTGATACTAAACCCTACTTCTTTTTCTATGAGTCTGTTTTGTTTTTGTTTTGTTTGTTAGTTTATTTTGTTCATTAAATACCACATATGAGTGAAATCATGTTACTTGTCTTTCTCTGGCTTATTTCCCTTAGCATAATGTTCTCAGAGGGGAGGGTAATTGCAGGGCTGGGTGAAAAATGTGAGGGGATTAAACAAAAATAAAAACTCATAGAAAGACAACAGCATGGTGATTACCACAGGGGAAGGGGGGTGGAGGAAGTAGTAAAGGGTAAAGAGGGGATACATGGTGATGGAAGGAGACTTGACTTGGCGTGGTGAACACACATTACAATATACGGATGAGGTATTATAGAATTATACACCGGAACACCTGAACCTATATAATTTTATTAACCAATGACAGCCCAATAATTTAATTAAAAAACAAAAATAAAACCTACCTCTCATAATTGTTAGTAGAATTTAATGAAATTATACAGGTAAAGTGCTTAAAATGATATCTGCACATATTAATCAATAAATATTGCTTTTATTTTGTTATTATATGATAATATTATGAATTATCTTTTTAAGCATCAACACATTTCACATTTTCAGGTTAACCATTATGGCTACAAATCATATGCATGTATGTATAAACTTACCTGCCATTTTTAAATAAATTTATTTTTCAGTTACTGTTGACATACAGTATATGAGTTTCAGGTGTACAACATAGTGATTAGACATATATATACCTTACTTACTAAGTTATCACCCACTATAAACTTATCTGCCTTTTTAAGGGCATTTATTCAACATGATCTAAAGTCTGCTTGATCATTTAGAGACATTATTTTAGTCATTAGTTATTGTACTGCACTATATATTAGGGTTTTCTAAGGAATATAGGTCTTTTAACTCTACACTAAATTGTTCTAGACTGTTGTTTCTTTATTTACTTACAAGTACATTTTAAACATATCCTGTCTTCTTTCTGCAGTCTGTAGTCACTTGTAGTTTCTCTCAGTGTTCTTTAATGTAGCAACCCTTTTTTTCCTAATCAGTTATGAACTTTAAAAAAAAACAAACCCACCAGCTCTCCAAGTTGGTGTCACAGATGACAGATTAGTATGTTAAGCAAGAGTTAAATCAGTTGTAAGAAAACCATCTATGAAGAGAGTTACAAGATTCAGTGCATCAACTTTAACACACCTGTGTTGCTTGCTCTAAGGCCTGTTTTTGATCACTTATTAGCTTTCCACCATGTTCATGATAAGTGATGTGCCAGCTTAGAGAAATACCTCCTGAACTGTAGTTAATTCATGAGAGTGGGGAAAAAGGGTATGCATTAATCTGAACTGTGAACTAATTAAACAATTGCAGTTTTATTTCTAATGAGCATATTCAGTGAGACCAAAGTATCTGTTGCCCATTTAGGATTTTGCAGTAGATTATGCTAATCTATGATTAGCAGAATCAATTTGCATTCTAATAATGAATAGGCTGAAGTTCTTAAAAAAAAATAACTGTGTGTTCTTTAAAATAGGCCAAATGAGCCCCTGACAGGCAAAATTAGCTCCCTTGAAATCTTGGAGGGGTTGCATTTTTTTATTACTGTTCTGTTACAGTTGTCCCAATTTTCCCCAGTTGCTGTCCCCTGCCCCCCCCCTCACTTCCACTGTCAGTTCCCTCCCTGTTGTCCATGTCCATGGGTCATTTATACCTGTTCCTTGACTAGACCCTTTCTTTCCCCTTTTATCCTCCTCCCCACCCCTCTCTGGTCTCTGTCAGTTTGTTCCTTGTTTCCATGCCTCTGGTTCTGTTTTGCTTATTTGTTGGTTTTGATCATGAGGTTCCTCTTATAAGTGAGATAATATGGTATTTGTCTTTCACTGCCTGGCTTATTGCACTTAGCAGAATCCTCTCCATTTCCAACCATGCTCTCGCGAAAGCTCTTTCATCCTGCTACATAGCATTCCATTGTGTAAATGCACCATTAAAAAAAATATTTGTTTATTTATTTTTAGAGAGACAGGAAGGGAGTGAGAGAAACAATTGAATGTGTGGTTGCCTCTCGAGTGCCCCCTACTGGGGACCTGGCCTGCAATCCAGGCATATGCCCTGACTGGGAATTGAACTGGCGACCCCTTGGCTCACAGACCAGCACTCAATCCACTGAGCCACACCAGCCAGGGATGTACCATTATGTTTTGATCCACTCATTTACTGATGAGCACTTAGGCTGTTTCCAGCACTTGGCTATTGTAAATAACACTGCTATGAACATCGGAGTGCATAGGTTCGTTTGAATTGGTGATTCAGGATTCTTGGGACATAATCCCAGCACTGGAATTTCTGGATCAAAAGGCAGTTCCATTATTAGTTTTATCGAAGGCATTTTTGTACACCAACAATGAAATATCCCTTGAAATCTTTTTCACACTATTTGCTTACTGAACCCTTTCTTTGTAAGTACAAAGGTAACTAGCACAAGTTAAATTAGTACAAATTTCAAATTACTATAGTTCACATTAATGAGGTTTTAATATATGGGAATCTCATAATTGTTCACTGGCAATCATATGGTATTATAAATGTGCAGATTGCTTTATAATAGTATTTTCTTCCTATGCAGTGCTAGAGAAAAGGAAGAGGGAAGACATTTTGTACGTATATATTCCTCTTCCCTTTGCTACCATTCCCTGCATCGTAGCAAGAAGGAAAGCTAGGTTTGGAAGTTCCTACAGGAGATACAGGCCATTTTAGTTTTAAGCTGTAGCCATTACATCACTTAACCCTGTGACCTCTTTGAATCAAAGCCCCTTCTCTCTATCACTTACCCACTACACCTTTTTGGCTTCCTTCCCCATTTCTTCTAACTCACCATTTTATACAAACTGCCTTTCTTTTATACTAAAAATAATTTCTAAAAGGTCCCTAGTGACCTCCAAATTTTCGAACTAAGTGGACTTTTGGCAGTTCTCAACCTCCTAGACCTGTTTACTTCATTTCATGCTGTTAACAACCTCTCCTTGCTTGAATTATCTTTACTCATGCCTTCCTGGGCAATTCACTTTGCAAATTCATCTTACTTTTGTCTCCTTCATGCATTCTTTCTCCTTTTCCTACTATTAGCCATATTTATAGGTGAAGAAATAGAAGTTAAATAATACCCAAGGGTGAGCATATAGCAAGTAGTTTAGCCAAGTTTCCAACTCCAAAGCCTATCTTTAACTACTATGTCATAATTACTATGTCTGTAGATATTGGGAACTTGGATCCATTACTAAAATGTATATTAAACATTGGTATCACATTTGGGAAATCTATGTTTGTATTAGAATAAGATGAGCAGAGCTTAGATTTGATCATTTCTAGGATCTCTCAAAACTCTGAGATGTCTTTTTTTTTCCAGTTTATTTTTCCTGCTAATCTCCAAAACAAGTCTTCTATTTCAGCCAAGGCTATCAGATACTTTCTCCAAAAAGGCACAGTGCCCACCTACTTCAGTACCTATTCCTGTCATTTCCTTTGTGTAGTGTGCCCTTCCTCTTCTTTCACCTGTTAAAATCCTGTCCAACAGACCACACCTAGTACAAGTCCTGTCTTCCTCCTAGTTTGTATTGTTCACTTTTATCTCTGAAACCCTTTGATCATTATATTCATATGAATCACTTGGAACTGATTATAGACTACCTTAAACTATTGGTTATCTGTTCATACAGATATGCCTTAGCCTTTCAATGTAGTCATTAGCGCCTTATTGGAAGAGCCTCTGACTCATGTCTTGCACACAATAGATGGTCAAGAAATATTTGTTCATCACACATTTGGCTGAAGAATTGCTTCCGCTTTGTCTTAATCTTCTCTCTT